TGGTTAATCTGGCAGGAGCGTGTGCCAAGCATGAGAAGGTCAAGGTGACGAGCAGAAGGCCACTGAAATTGTTATGATATGGTGGGCTGCAGGAAAATATGGGTGAATGACCAGAAGGAAATCCAGGCATGAGCCTGGAAGGAGGTCAAAAGGAGACAGTGAGGATTCAAGCCTGGATGACTGCACTAAAGACAATGTAGTTAACCAAAAGGGAAAATCAAGGGAGCCCAGGGATAAGTGGGTTTGGAGCCCAAGACAGCATGCTTAAGAGAAGATTAATCATCACCATATCACCAGGTAGTTGGGTTTAAAAAAAAAAAAAAGGTTCTCAAGTAGAATAAATAAAATGTAATTAATGCACACAAGCTACAATGTAAGCAGTGTGACATTCAGAAGAGGTGTCTCACTCCAGAAAACAATGGGAAGATACTGACACATGCATGTTACTTCCAAGGCAACATGCACCATCAGCACAATGAGTTTCCAAGAGTTAAGAAATCTAAATAAATTTTCTTAAAATTATGTTCTCACAAAACCATTATCTTCCTCTGTTCTGAGTTAAGGGGGCTTTCAGAAACAGGGTAAAGACCTTTGTTTCTTTTTCTTTCTTTCTTTCTTTTTTACTTTGTTCTTTTATCCGTCCTTCCTCAAGATGAGCAAGCTTGGTTAGATCTGTGATTTAGGAAACATCTTAGACACAGCAAATTCATCATTATTTCTGCCAAACATTTTCCTTTTCATCTGAAAACCTGGGCAAGTGAGGTAGCTCAGAGGCTAGATAAGGGCGCTTGCTGCCAAGTCTGATGAACTGTGTTTAATCCCTGGGACCAACATAGTAGAAGGAGGGAACTTCTCCAGGTAAGTTCTGGAAAAATAGATGTAATTATTACCTTGCTAAGTAAATAAGGAAACCAAGATATTAAACTCACATAACTAGTACCAAAATTCAACCCAAACTTTCAAACTCCAAATCCTGCATTTCCTCTTTAGAACCCAAAAGTCCCTCCCATCCATCTTACATGTGAAAAAAAGACATGGAAAGCAAAGAAATGTAAAGAAATATAATACTCAAAATTTAAGATCTATCTAGAATAAACTACCAGCCTCTAAACAAACACTTAACACTGAGAAAAGGTCAAGGTGATACAAGTGTATGTTGGGGAACAGCAATGAACTTCAAACTTTCAACAGAAGAAATCATCTCAATCCTAGTCACAAAACCAATAGACATCACATACATTAAAACCTATGTACTCCTAGTCACAAGTCCAATGGTCATCACATCCTTTAACACCCATGACCTGGACAGTTTGAAAGCACCATTGTCAAATAAACAAAAAAGCAAAAGGACCAAAAAAAAAAAAAAAAAAAACCCACAGAGAATACCCTATCAGTTAATCTATCAGCTTTGGTTTGGTTTCCCACCTCATCACAATTGGGGAAATTTCAGCTTTCTTTCTATCAGCTTAAAAATTATCTCTGTAATTACCACAATCTCAAAACCACAGCCTGGATCATTTATGAAAAGTTTCCATCCTCCTTCTTGAGACATGGTCTCACTATGTAGCCCTGGCTGGCCTAAAACTCACTGAGTAGAGCAGGCTAGCCTCTAACACACAAAGATGTGCCTACCTCTGTTAATGGATGTACAAATAAAGTGTGTGCTATCAAGGGACTGCTTTTTTTAAAAAATGAGACTAAACACTTTAAATTAAATACTCAAGTCAGAGAAAAATTTTATAGGCTAATTAGAACATATAAAGCAGAAGAAATGTGTATTTAGAACTCATTATTTAGAAAACACAATGTGAAGAGTGGAGGTAAGGAGTCACTGCCAAAACACACAACATAAGCACTAATTACAGTTTACCTTATTAACAGGCTTGGACATCCTCAACTTAATGTGAGGCTTACACACTCATATATATGGTAGCCATCCTGTCAGATTATCAAGTGCAATCTCTTAAATCACAATTATTCTTTAAAAAAAAAATTCAGAAAACTAAATGCCTTCTTCTGCGACATTTCCATTTCGTGACTAGCACTAAATGCTTAAAGTATGTACACAGAAAACTATGCACACAGTACGGTTCCTATGTGAAGATCAGTAGAGATTGGGCATGCATGCGCATGTATGTGGACCCTGAAATGCTACAGACATCTAATCTGGCTTGGTTTCTTTCCTCCATATAAGATTGAGAGCAGTTTTTCACTCATGTTATTTAAAATTTCAATCTCATGTAGCCATACATTTTGCCTGTGTCTGTGTATGTTTAAACAAAACTCTAGAAGCAGATACTCACCTGAGACAAGTAAGAAAACAGATCTGTAAGGACACGCAGTGGAATGTGCGTGGTTTGGCTGGGATGTTCACAATCAAAAACAAATTATACCACATAATGACTGGAAAAGTTAATTAAGTCAGTTTAACCAATAACTTCACCAATAACAAAACTTTATATATATACACTTTTAATCATGAAATGGGTAGAATCGAAAATATATACTTTACATTCTTTGGTTCACAAATCTTGATATCTGAATAAAATCTTTTAACTGTTACTACCTCAATGTCAGAGCAATTGTAAAGAAAGCATAAGCAACTGGAAATGAGCCCAGTCACTGTGCTGCCTATTGTGGCAACTCAATGGCTGCAATTTCTGTGAATGATCACAGTGTAGGTACCTGAGCACTTCTAAACTGTAGAGAAATGGGTAGGTGGGAGAGACAACCATGTCCACTACCAGCCAGCACATACAGAGCACCAAACTCTGCAAGGCTGCCTAACAAAGTTTTAACCCAAGTAGCACAGGACTAAAGTCCATACACTCGTGTTTCTTGGAATCAGCCTGGTGAGTGGAAATCCACGTCTTAGAAATAACATTTCCATTTTGTCTTCTGTTTCACTGGGTCTTTCTATTGTCCCCAAATGAAAAGCAGTGAATTCTTAAAACAGGAATATTGAAAAACTACTCTGGCACAGCTCTCCTTCAGACATGTGCCCCGCAAACGTGACCAATGAGTAGGACTTAGGCGCGTTTAAACAGGTTGTGGGCCTCAAGAGTGCAGGCTGATCAGGTTAGAAAGGCAGAAGTGTGTGCGAATTAGCAAACAGGCCTGTGATTATGCCAAGTACAGAACTGGTATTGACTGTCCTTTCCGACTAGGTTTTTGCTCCAGGCCTCCAGGCCACCACTGCGCTCAAGTTCGTAATGTTCCAGTCACCTTTGACATGGTTATGAGAAAAACCTGTGGTCAAAGACTTATTGACAACAAGCTGAACAGCAATGGAGAATCCTCAGAGTATATGTCTCAGTGTGGGAGCAAGATCCACAAAAGCAACAGCTTCTTCCTCACAAGGGACACAGATGAGACCCTGCTGGGGGCAGTGGCTTCTAACACCCCACATGGTATACCACCATCCTCTTCCAGCCTGCACTGGCTTTGGCCAGGCCTTACACTCTGAAATACCCACGTATACTGTTGTATACTGGCATCCTCACTCACATGCCATGTGTTGAACAAAATTGGTGTTTCATGAAGCTTATTGGCAAGAGCACTTATTCTCATAAAATTAGTATTAAAACTATCAGATAACCAGCACTTCATATTTGCTCCTACTTATAAAACAATGATATATATATCAAAAAGATAAATAAGCCAAGATAGCATGTTTCTGAAGTAGGAAATGCTTTCTGTAACACTGGAAAACAAGAGACAAGTATTCTAGTTGTATTAAATAAGCTTGAGCCCTGGCTTTAAATGCCACAAATAAAGGGAACAATACAGACAAATTTTCACACACATACAGGTAAAGTGAATCCATTATTTTAACTCAGACACAAATATATCTCCCTGGAGATCAATGGAAAGCTGGATTCATCGGCCTGCAAGACTGACAGCCAGCTACCTCCCTCTGGCTATGTCACAGTCCAAAGCTACAGCAAGACCTTGATAAAGGGCTGTAGACCTGAAGCAAAGCTGAGCACATGGATGGGCATGGATCAGCAGCCAGACTCCTCAGGAATCCTGGTCCTCAGAGATGAGGGTTCTGGGCTATAGTAAGCTTCCAAATCAAGCTCATTCTTCAATTGCACATGTAAAACAAATTGCACATGTAAAACAGCCGGGGAGTAGTGGCACAGGCCTTTCATTCCAGCACTCGAGAAGCAAAGGAAGGCAGATCTCTACAGAGTGAGTTCCAGGACAGCCAGGGCCACACAGAGAAACCCTATCTTGAAAAACCAAAACTAAAATAGATAAATAGACACACAGACAGAAGTTCAACCTAGTAAAATGTTCTTGGAACATATAAATTATAAAACCACAGAGGAGACAGAGGGTTGGGCAGATCAATGAGCTGGGTCATGCAGGACAAGAACTGGGAGACTGGGCCAACATATTCTTCCTAGGGGCACACAGAAAAGCAGAGTGTAATCCAAGGAGAGCAGGAATGGCTGAAGCTACAAAAATCAAGGACATTAATGGCCCAAGAGAATGTCACCACAACCCTTCAGCCTGGTTTCCCCACTTGGAGGATGCTGGATATAATATTCAGTGCCCATGTTTGAACTCAATACTATGCTTAAAATGTAAAAATAAACGGTGATTATACATTATCTCTGAAAACAGTTACATACATTCAGTTTACATAAACCAGTAACAAAGTCCATGGACATAAGGTAGACTACCTTAAGGTTGTTAAATTTTAAAGTCTTTTCCATTAGACAACTTTAAATTCGGGTGGGGGAAATCCTGCCATAAACGACAAATTCTGTGTTATTGTGACTAGGCTAGACTTTCCATGGGAAATGCAAAGCATTTTGAATTCTTAAAGAAAACAAGAAGCCTGCCCACCCCATATGCCATCCTCCGACCCATTTGCTACTTTAACCTGTCCTAAGACAATCACTGGTTCAGATGCTGACACTCAATTTAGGACATACAGAGAACACAGCGATGACTGTGGCTTGCCAGCTGGGAGCTCTGGGGTCACTCACCATTCGAAGTGGTACTGGAGGCCACGGCCTTCTCACTGACATCTGTTCTTGTGGAACATTTCCCGATGGAATTCTCAGCTTTCTTCCTCTCGGTGGTTGTGGAGCTGTGGGACTGGGCCTCCATAATGTCTTCTCATTCCTTCAGCTTTTTTTCTCAAAGGAATGCCTATAAAACACCACAATGCCATCAAATTCTCAAAATGGCAGAAGGAGAAACCTTAATTCATAAGCCTCCTGCATCCTCTCTGAAGAAAGGCTAAAGGTTTAGCAAAACCTGGCTGACATTTATGCAAAGGTTTTTCTGGCAAAAAAAATACTTGGTAGTGTCATTAAGAAGCCAGCTGAAGTTGCATGAAGTTGAGTTCTCACATCTCCTAGGTGATCCAGCCTTTGCCATTTGCAAAGGAAAACAGAACAGCTCACAATAGCCAAGTTTTTCCTCAGTTCCTCTTAAGCATATTATCAAATGATCTAAAGCAGTGGTTCTCAACCTTGCTAATGCTCCAACCCTTCAGCACAGTTCCTCCTGTTGTGCTGACTCCCCAGCCCATGAAATTCTTTTCATTGCCACTTCAGAGCTGTAATTTTGCTACCGTTATGAATTGTAATGTGAATATTTTTGGAGACAGAGGATTGCTGAAGGATTTGCAATCCACAGGTTGAGAACCACTGATCTACATTTCAATTGTCTACATTTAAGAGCCTAGTGTCACATTACTCTTAGGCCATGTCTGCACATTTCTCTTCAGGTGGATTGGTCACCTTTATAGGAAGGGGCACTAAGAGAACTTCCAACTCAGAAGAAAGTTTGTAGTTACTAATTAGACTTTTTAAAGAGCACCTAGCAACCCTCCCCAGAGCTCAGTCTGGAGAATAACTCAACCAAGTAGAATGTGATTTCTGCTTCTTCCACTAAAACTCCTGAACTGCAATGCAATTCTTAACTTAATGCAAACTGTGTTCTTTAAGTTTTCTTAAAATGCAAATATTAATTCATTTGTGTTAATTTCCTGAACAAAGGTAATAGGATTATACCGTTCCATTCCACCAAAAAAAAAAAAAAAAAAAAAAAAAGCCAAAAGGCGAGGAGAGCAAAGGCTGGTATCACTAACAAAATATGAAAACCCAACTACTGGCAAAGTCAGGTCATCTGTCTTTCACCAGCTTCATCCATGGGATAATAGTCTCAACTAATCATTCATCAATTTCCACTCTAGCACATTCTTCTTCACAGTCATGCTCCATAACTACAAAGAATACTAAGAAGGAAAGTCCACTCTCAGGCATGTCTTCTTCAAATGCTCTAGACTGCAACACCCATGGAAGGCATTTCATCTGTCTAGTCATCTGCTTATTTTCTACATGTAGTAGACACCACAAGGTTCAATCAAAACAGTGATTAGTGAAACAAAATAAACAGCTGCTTAACTGGCAAAAGTAAAAATTCCAGAGGATATATATTTAGTCAGTTTTAACTCATGCTTGCAAGGGAACTGTAAATTCTTTAACATACACCATAATCCTCCTTGACCTGGAATGCATGCCATTCAATGATGGCTTCAGAACCAAACACTACAAATACAACACTGAGGCACCATTCTTCCATTAACTTCCTTCTCTTTCCAAAGTAACCACTGTCATTCCCTCTAACACACCCAAATGTTTTGTAGAATAAAAAGAAAAAAAGGTACTTATCAATTGTAAGACCCACTCTGAATTGAGAAGCATGTTTAGAGAACACAATGAAAAATAAGAACTCAACAGCAAGGAGCTGGACAGCACCCACACAGTTGTTACCTAAGGATGCCCCAGGAGCTGTCCAGTGCTACCCTGGGCAACCTGTGCTCAGTCTCAATTGACAGACTTCAACAGAAGCACTCAGCTGCTTTCCTTCCGGAGAGAAAATCAAATAGTAAAGACCTTCTTTCTAAAACCACTCTTCAGCCTAGAAGTCTACACTTACTGTAAAAGAGATCACAGACCCTCAAAAACTTTTCCATAACCTGCAATAAAAACCTCTAAAGAGAAATTTTCCATAGTTGCTTGTACCTCTTAAAAAACAAAAATCTCAGAATAAAGTGGCTTTTCTCACAGAGATGGCTCAATGGGAAAAGGCACCTGTTCCAAGCCTGACAGTCTGAGTTGGTTTCTGGAACCTACATGACAGAAGGAGAGAACCAACACCCCCAAGTCATTCTCTGAATGAAATCCCATTTAAAGCAAACAAAAACCCACAAACTCAGAATAGTTCTCTTTAAACTATCTCTCAAAATTGATTTTGTTTGTTTCATGTGAGGTCTCAATACACAGTCCAGTCTAGCCTCAAACTCCCAACACTCCTTCCTCAACCTCCTCCCTCAGCGTAATCCTCAGTCAGATTACAGAACTGCACCAGCATATCCAGCTTTAAATATCATCTTTACAGTCTGTCACAAGGCTGGGGGGGATGGCACCCAACTTCAATTCCATCACTCAGGAGGCAAAGGCAGGAGAATTTCTGTGAGTTCCTGGTCAGCCTAGTCTCCAAATAAAGTTCTTGGGCATCCAGGGCTACACAGTAACACAGTCTCTCCTTCCCCCCAAAAAAAAAAAAAAAAAAAAAAAAAAAAAAACAGCCCCCCCCCAAAAAAAACCAAAGACCAAGTATACCATAAGAACAACTCAACCTAATCCATAGCACCTCTACTCCAAAAGTGTCCCTGAGTAACCGTTAATACCCACATTGCTATAGGTTTGCCAAGAGATCTGGTTTATCGGCCCTATTTCTGGCACAATGCATTTGTCATGAAGAACAGCAACTGGAGGTCTGTAACTGAAGGAGCAGTGATTGTCATGCTCACTACAGCTTCCTAGCAACTGCTCTGCACACTTACTTTTGTCCAGTGCTAGTATTCATGAAAGGACCTCTTCAAAGTCTTCCTTAACCACAGAATGAATGAAGTGTATCCTACAACACTGAATTCACAGCCCACACAAACCTATCTGAGCTCCAATTGTAATGATAAAGAACTGTGTCTAGAAAAGAAGTCTTTGCTGAACATCCATCTCCCCACTCCAGATTGGAGGGAGCTCATAAGGAAAAGGCTTCTGTTTTCCAACAACTAATCCACATACAAATGTTTACTGGGTACATAAAGGTTCGCCAGAGACACCATGACTTCTAAATCTGCTGGGTCTTGAATTTTAAACAACCCTGAGCTAGCTACATATAACTTCTTCTATACTAAATGTTTCACTGAAAACTAACTTAATTATATAAAAGCTAAAACTTTTACTAGGAATCTGTAATCAAAGCTCCCAAATCTTTGGCCACTATAACCATCTCCTACAAAACTCATACAGTTTTATTAGCCAAATTTGGGTAGTGTACCAAAGTTTAAAATCCAAATTTGGGTAGTTTAAATGCGGAAAGAAAACAAAATACACAAAGGAACCAGACCACCCCATCAAGAGATGAGGGTCCTAGTAGGAACAAACAAGTCATCAAAGTTGCTTGGTAAACTTGGATTTTATGCAGTGGTTGGTACCCCTCAAGGCAAAGAACTTCATTTTTAAAAAGTGATAACCCTCCCAGAACTCATCACGGTAGAGAAGGGCTCAAGTGCCAAGAGGCACCGCCTGAAAGCTACTAATTAATGGTCTTGGAGAATACTAATTCCTACCCATTTGAAATAGATTTCTTAAAAACTAGCCCGTTGGTAACTTAAAGAGTCTACCCCCTTCTTCTATTTTGACAACTTATTTTTGGATCTCATTAATTAGCAACTAATTATTTAAGTGTAGTCAATGCTTGGTGCAGGGCTATAACATGGCAACCTGCCAAGGCAGACATCTGCTTCCTGTACAGCACTGTGAGTTTTATCAGCTTATTGTACTGATAAAAACACAATTTTATCCTTGTCACAAAGAGAAAGCTTTAATACCAGGGATGCCCACACCCCATCTAACTGCTGAAATGGTGACTGCCTCTCCGTTCAGGGTGGCTCTCTCATAGAATATTAAGGGATTTGGAAATACAGACCAGAGTTGACCCCTGCTGGAATACTAAGTCCTGGCAGGTTGAAGCACTACCCTATCATTCCCCTTAGAGCCTAGAGTAACTGAAGAATCAAGGAGGGTGAGAAGTAATTCCGATTCACTTCAAATACTCTTCTCTGTAGAACACATGCCACTATTTTTCAGACATGAATGAAATCAAGACTTTCCTCGTGAGGCAGCTCTCCTGTTCACAGCTCTGGCCTGTCCCCTTCAGTCTTTCAGCACTGACAGATGCAAGCAGGATTGCAGGCAACCCACTTGACTTTTTCTGGGTTTTAGTTTTGGTTTTTGTTGTTGTTGTTGTTGTTGTTGTTGTGCTTGGGGGTGGGGTGGGGGTGAGTCTGAGTCCTAGCAAAAGACACAGGGGAAACCTGCCTCCCAGGAAGCCTGTAACTACCATTTGCCTTCTAAGGTCTTAAGTTTCACAGGTTTTAAAAAAAAAAAAAAAAAAAAAAAAAAAAAAGAGGGATAAAAGCTCCTCCTCCCTGGAGGTGAAACAACCAAAGCTTTTTTCATTCAACTATTGCAAACCTTTGGTAATTTCCCAGAGGCCATAGGCTGGAGCACAAATTAATGTCAGACCCTATTTTAAATCTACTCCCTCCTCTACTAGTGATTGGCCTGCAGGTACATCTTTTCTTTCTAAACTCTAACTGTGAACCTGCCTCAACCTCCCTAAAACTGTGCAATAAAAGCTTCCTGAAGCCACGAGGAATAAGGCTTGTAGTGTATGTTCCCTATGAAAGCGAAGGAGGTTTGGAGGTGACATTTACCAAATTTGAGACTCTTGGAGGGGAGGAGTACACTATGTTTTCAAAGCCCTTTCACACAAACGCCTCAAGCCCTCTCAAAGAGTCACCATCAGGGAGACAGGCTGCCTCACTGTGACTGATCATCTTCAGAGAGAAAGAAAGACAGGCCCATTTACTATGGGAATTCTTTTGAGCAGGCTGTGGTTGCTGTGGCCCGTTGAGTTTGAAAGCTTTCTTGGAGATTTCTGGTCATGACACCTCAGATCAAGCACAATCCATCTTTCGCACCTTTAACTACTTTCACTGCTGAGTCTTAATTCCTCTTCACCCACTGTTCTCCAGGGCCACTGGCTGGCAGCACTGCACTCTGTGCATG